ATATTCATTTTCTAAAATTACATATGTTCTGGCATTTGCTCAATATTATAGTAAATAAAAAGGAAAAAAGAAAAAAAATCAAGCTTTGATCTTATCCCTATTAATTATATAATGTTCAAAGATTATATTAGCATAAAATAAAATAGAATAAACAGTATCATTTTTAGTTTTTCACAATTCTTAACCTCAATAATGGCATTCCTGAAGCGATGGTGTTTCACGTTTATTGATTATTGGAAAATGGTTGGAAATGATTACCTGGCAGTCATGGAAGATTTTGGTAAAAAGGTGCAAAAAAAAGACCAATCATAACGGTGATTAAATTATTGCCATTGAGTGGTGCATTTTATGCTTATAAGACTAATCCAAGTGAAATGTATGTTTACCTATCCAAATGGTTATTTAATGTTTCTTATGCACAATTTAAAGCTTTACCATTATGACTTCTGACGTACTGAAAATAAACATGTCTAGGGTTAATGATGCTTTACGTTCCAATACTGCTCAAATCTTCAAAGTATTTTCTTTTATTTGCAATACATATCCTCTTTTGATCTTATGTATTTTTCTATATATAGCATGTTTTTCGGCGACGAAGAAATTTCTACAGTAAGTTTGGTGAAGAAAATTTATGTATTTTAATGCTTCAACAGTTTTCTTACAGAGACATGCTCAATTCGTTGGTGGAAAAAAGGTGGCAAATGATACTTGTACCAAATTCAATACACAGTAAAAAAGCAGACGATGAAATTGCATCTCGTACATTGTATATAGATCAAAATCGATTGAAATATATTAATTGCATTTTTTTTTCCATTCTCATCAAGCTACCTGATAGTGACGACGTAAGACGACTATTTCACTATTAATTTATTTCACTATTAATTTTATTGATGATGGCGTTATTTTTTGCAATTTCTTTTAGAATCTCTCCTGTTTTCCCTGTATTATCTTTCAGTTTGTTGCATAGTTATTTCATTGTGAAGTAGTTTTGACCATTCAAATTCATAGGTTCAGAGATTTGATTAACCAGGAATTATTAATATTAGCATATGATCTGCGGGAGTTGTGAAAAGTTGATAAGGAATTTGTGGTGTGTCAAATATTGTCCTACACCCGAAGTAAGATATCCTACTGATGATAAGTGAAAGCATACGACAGAATGTCTACGATACAAGGAATTACTAAATGATTTCATAAAGGAAATTGCGGATCTATAGATTTGGCGAACATTTCGGATTGAATGATAGCATAGTAAGAGAATAAATATAGAAAGCTTCATCCTTAGAATAACCGATAAATTTCTATTAACATTTGCTGTATTTGCAGTTATGCTTGTACGAAAATCGAGATTCTATTCTGAGGCGGTGGTGGTGGCAGCGATACGATGATATCATTGATATTGGTGCTTTCAACAAATGGTTTAGGCTTGGGAAAAGTTTCGAAGATTACGATATCAACGAGAATGAATTCAGCAATTCTGTTAGCAAACTTGCATGAAGCAGTAACGGAATGCTAGCAAAACTTATGTAGTAATAATATGTCATGTAAATTCTTGATCACCGACAGTTGTTCATGACTACGTTCAAACTACTTAAATATAATACTTCCTTTTAAGCTCGAATTTCCTACTGCGAGGAAAACGTATGAACACTCTATTATATATGAACACTTTCATTTCATAATTTAAAGACAAAAAAAGCTAAACTGAGAAGTGAAAATCATTTCATAGCCTGAGAAATGCCATTTTCTTCCGCGTCAGCACATCGGAAATCAGCGCATGCTGTTACTGCACGTGAAAGATCGGCCATAGATTCTGGTGACGGCCATCGATTGGCGGCCATAGTTGCTGCACTAAGTAAATTCTCTGAAATACCTGAAACAAATTTATGTGCACTTCATAAAATTATTTATCGGCTTCTTCGAGAAAACAGCAGAATTTACGCTGGTCAAACACAACGTACAAATCGCCCAATTTTGCAACTTATCTCTGAATATTAACAGTTATGTTAGAAGGGATTTGATGTCAAATATATTCAAGTAACGAAGATGAATATCCCTGGACTGCATGGTAGACGCAGTCCTATTAACAACTCTTTCAAAATGCCCTATTATGCTAACTGCGGAAATATTGCTTTCTAGTTGATGATATTGTCTGTTACTAATCTTAAATTTATAATTTCACCGTTACTATTTATTTATATGAAAGGGAGGAATTACATCGAGATGCAGTTATGAATTCCGGCAGAAATGATAACGCGTGTAGACTGATATCGGCACTTTTGTGTAACAATGCAGCAGAGTAAGCACTCAAGAAATGAACACTCATCTGTAAGAAACAAACCATTATAAAAGCTTCCTGAATTTCAATTTGACTTATCACTATTAACGAAAAGAGATAAAGCTACGGTAAACTTCCAGTTTCCTCCAATAATCAGTGACGATAGCTTGTTAAGCACCACTCATTTTTTTCTACATTTGCATTTTTGCGAAAGTTTGGATGACACTAATAAATTGCAGGTAAGATTGATAAACTGACATAACAGGTGAAACTTTTCTTAAAAGAAACTTTGAACTAAAATGACAACAGTCTAATAGAAGTGTAAAAGATTATACATATGGGTTTGAGGAGATATAATTCAGCGCACACTGATAAGCTAAGCTTCGAACTGGACGTGCAAGATCAGTGAATGCGCTTTGAATGAGATGCGTGAATGGAGCTATACGGTCCGGAGATTCAGCTGTTGTGGCACGAAGCTCATCGAGTAGCACAACGCGGTCACATGATATTTCCGCCGTTTCCAATCTGGACAGTAATGAGGCGCTCATAAATTCGAGAAGGCTAAAAGTTACATTTTCTTTTTTTAATTGAAAAGAATATATTATCATTGTCTTTTACATTACAAACAATTATGATAAATATTGATTTTCATAGCTTTTAAAAGTAATCAAATGTAACTGTGTTATAGAATGATTGTTATGTCAATAGTGAATGCTAACTATTTCATGATCATTAATAATGAAGTTTAAATTGCGTTTACTGATCATGATATGATTCGCAAGTGTCA